ATGGATAATGTTGGATTTTTTACAAGATTTAATTGAATACTTATAAAGTTTCTTAACTTATAGAAAGGACACCAAACGAATTTCATATTTTTGACGTAAAACCCAAACATTTTTTTTTAATTTAATAAAATGGTTGTAATAAATAAAACAATCTAAACATGAATAAGCTTAAAAAGGTATGATTAAATGAGTGAGTTTAGGATTGATAAAACGAATGGGACAAGATTGGTTTAGTTAGTTTCTCTACTTACTTAGTATCTCTAAGTACCAAATGTCATAAGAAATACCATGATATTAAAAATTAAAATTATAAAAATAAGGTTAATTGTGTGCTTAGCATCCCAACTTGCCTTGCCTCATAAAATCATGGAATAGATATAGACTGCCTCATTTTTTTTTTTTTTAGTCCTTAGTCAGTGAAACGTTTTCATATTCCAATGGAAACACCTTTCTACCAACTATACCTATGTACGTATCTGCAATTATTTCATTATCTTTTTTTGTCATGATATGACATCATCTACAACTTTACCGAGTTACGTTCGTTCTGGTTTGTCTGTGGTCGATTTAAAATTGATGTTATAAATTGATAGGCAAAAATATTACACCTACCTAACCTAAATAATTATAAAAGAAAACATTTTGAAAATATTGATCATTGCAGAGATATTTTTTATTTCTCATCACTATGAGCATAGACAATAAACTTTTACACAATGAGTACCTCAGTGAGAAATAGACATGGAAATTATTGCTACTTTTAAATCATATTCATTTAATGAAATTATTGATTTTAGTCACAACGATTTTACATGTGATTGTGATTTCGTCATAGACAAAGATAAATGGCATTAAAATCCATCAATTTTTAATCAATTTTGCGAGTCTTGCGATTTTGTGATTTTATACAATCTTTAGTCAGAATAATTTACCAAAGATATAGAGAATGGACTCAGCGTTATGCTTACATAAGTGACTACTCTCTAGAAAGAGACAAAACGACTGTGCGACCGATGCGACCAATACCTGTCTCTTTTCTGCAAGTATTAATTTTTTAATTATGCCGGCAGTATAATTTTAAAATAGAAAAATAATTGAATTTATTTCTCTTAATTAACTGAACACGCTTAGCTACTTTTTTTAACTTAACAAACATAATCTACAATAATTTTCAGTTCAAATTTCTACACTTGATATTTACAATCTTACGAATTTCTAAACTGGGTAAGTCCCAGCTATGTGAACCAACCAGAATACTAGATAGAGCCGCTACTACTACTGGCCGCACATTCGTTTTGTCTCTCTCGTATTTTTCGGTCTGTATTCACTTCCAACTGACTAAGGAACGCGCAGTCCATTCTCTATGTCTATGGAATTTGGAGCGCTGGGTCATTGACGTCAATAACGTACAAAACGTTGGTAAAATCCATCCATTCCATTGCATTCCGTTCACAGAGTACATTGTAATATACTGAAAATTCCGTTCCATTGGTCTATGGAGTGTAGACGTAAGGACCACTGTGACTACTGCACTACCTTGTAAGGGCGGCAAACTGAAAAAGTGTTCAGCAAAAAGCAGCAAATTACAGTTCTAAATAAAACCAAATAGAATGGCGCTAGTGTAGCTAAAGGTAAACATGAACATAGCAGTTATAGACGGAGCAAAGTTTACTGAGTTATGTACTTTTATCGTCTGTAAATAGTTAATACACGTTTATTAACTGTAAAACTCATTTTATGTCTGTTTTCGCTGTTTTTTGTTTCTGGTACACAGTGTCTAATTTAAATGTTACACAATGTGCAATACTCAATCATTTATTGCGTTCCATAACTTACATAAATGGTCTTAAAAATATAAATACAATACAGAACCATTATGGACCCTGTCGAGCACAGCAAAAGGTTAGGAGAGAGGAAGAGGGCTAAGCAGTAATAACTTAATATCTATTTGTGCACACAACTAAAAACGAATTTGCATATTTTAAAATAATGAGTAAATAGGTACATATACTGACATAATATTTAATATATATAATAATATATGTAAGAAATATATTTGTATTTAATAACACAATAATGCAGGTTTTATACTTATTTATTGATTTTACATGGGTGCATCTTTTTTTATTTTAGCTGGTGTTTACTGTGCATTTAATATATATTCTATTGGTACATATGTGATATTATTTAAATACATATTACTTTTGTTTGCAATATGATTGATTGATTTAGTCACAAAAAAAAATGCAATTTTAAGCATCATCGTCTACTGGTAGCGTCCCCAGAAGATTGTCAGCATTGCCACGTTGAATAGCAATGCTAATTCTCTGTGCTAGAATAAGGCCGGCCTTCTGATCATGACAGGTGTCGATCAGTTGCTTAGCTAGTTGTTTATACGTAGCACGACCACTCGGACTCCATGACCCTAGCGTCTCGACCCCAAGCGGTTCTAAAATGTAATTTCCTACTAAATTTTGGTATTTACGCCGTTTGAGGATTTCTGCGGATGCAGCAGCAGCACCGGCATAACCAGCTGTGCCTGGAAGATGTGATTGCTACGGGTGTCGACGCAAGTGCCGAAGGTACACGGCCGAAGTTCCGCGTCTGATTTGACGTTCCGACGTAATCGGCTCATATGACACACCTTATCGCGGCAAATATACGACAGAAATTCGGATGCGCAAATTCTGTGTCTGGAGCGGCCTAGACACTGAATTTGAGCAACCAAATTTCTGTCAACTGATATGGATAGCGCTATCGTGGTGTCGTGTATTTATATATTGTCGTGTATATATATTTCGTTATTCCTTTTGAGGCAGGATGGCGCGGGCCTGCCTGCCTTCCAAAGCCCCACGCCCTGGTTCACCCCCGGCAATCGAACCGAACCTCCGTCGCGTATAATGTGTTGCTATTTGAAATACGTTGTCGCTGAACTTACGCCCGACCGAAATTTAGCTGTAATCTATAATACGACGTAATTTGGGCAAATGTGTCGTAAGTAATTCAAATAGCATTGCAGGAGTAATCACGCCGAACTTCGGTCGCGTATCTTCGGTATAGCGTGCTTAGACACTAAATCAATTTATTGAGATATAATCCAAACGGTGTGAGTGAGAGAAATGGCAACCGAAAACCTACATGTACAACACTATTTCCATTGCCTGAATGTTGGCGTAATTTTTCGCGCCAACAATTTTAAAGTTGTGTTGGTAGCTGCAATGACGCATTATAATGGTTTATATATCATTGGGTAGATGTGTTTCCGCTTCATGATATCATGTTTTAATTAGAAATTCTCACCGATACTTAAAACGTAAAGTTTGTGCAAACTCGAGATCGGTCGGAGTGAGAATAACTTAACACTAATTGTAGTTAAGTGACTTACTGAATTTGAGTTATCAGGTGACTGGTGATGCTGAGTAAATTATTTGTCATATAATGTTTTTTAATCTAAGATTATTTTAAATTTTATTTTTTCATTTCACTGTATTTTGGGACATAATTCTTTCGTAAATAGGTTTGTGTTAACTTTCTTCTTCTTTGGTTGCGATCTATGCGTTGCAAAAGGAACAACAAGATAATTATTAACTAACATCAGTAATAGATCACAATCACGTGTCTTAAATACTGAGGAAAAGTAAAGGTACCTTGGCAACACACCGAAAGTATCAAGATGAGAGTAGTAAATAGGATATGGATACAAGCAGAACCTTTAGACGATCTACCTACTAGAAAATCTTTTTGGCGGTTCTATTAATTTACGGTAAATCCTCGACTACACGACTGAAATCTCGAGGATCAAACCCTCCTTCTGTATCCTCTCCTGAATCGCGTGCCATGCCCTTCTTATGTGTACTAAATAACCTTAATAGATGTATATTTCAAAGTACACAATTAAAAAAGCTTTTACTATGCGGGATTTCTCAGTTGCAGACATTTCAATCAGACTCCTCGCAACTCTGAAGTTTTACTTTTCTTCGGGTACAGATCAGTCCATGATATGAAGAAAAGTTAGTCATAATAAATTAAAGTTTTTTTTCGTTTATCGATTTATTAAAAAATATATAAACGTAAAAAATATTCATTCGTTGCTCCACATAAAACATTATTACATCACATCACAATCGGACATTATCTATTTTAATGTCTTACAAAATAGTTTATATTAAAACTAGACATATTTTTTCGAGGCAGTGCTAATGAAATTGACTTAAACGTAGTCCCACATAGGTTTGTAAGGTATTACGTGACTCATAGTTACTGAATCTTGCTCAGCCTTAATCGCTAAAGTCCTAGAATAAGATAAAATATATAATACTTCGTCCAATTACTAACAATATCTTATACCTAACAGAAACTAAAAGGTAAATTCTATATTTTCATCATACCTAATTAGTCTGTTATAATAAATAAAGTACCTAACCATTTTGTTCTTAGCTCATTATTTCAAAAGCACCGCCTCAAACGACAAAAACGTCGATTTATTATTAAAAATAAATAGCACATGTACTACAAAGCTAGAAATAGACAATATTTAAGAGGTACTTATAAGCACAGTCTTCAATAAAACAGATCATGTAAGGGTAAAAACACGAAGAAAATGATTTCATTTCATATTTTTGTTGCTCACTCAAAAAGATTTACGCCATTCTAAAATTTCGTCCAGAACTATTTGTTTCTGTATTGACAAAAAAAAGTTATGATACACAATTATGATGATATACAAGTACGTTTGATGTCATACTCAAAGTGTAGATTGTGAGAACTATAAAATTAAATCTTTGTAAGAAACCAAAGTTCTGCCATCCTGGTTTTCATGTTCTGAATAATTATGGCATGCTCATTAAGATTTTATATGTTATTACATCCACATGTTTACTTGTCGGCATTCTGATCTAATAGAAAGAAACCTATGATTGGAAGACTCGGTATCTTTCTTGTCAAGTGAGATAATTTCATCTCTTTTAAAATCTTCATATTTGTCCTGTAAAGGAAACTGGTCAAAATGCTCTAGAATAAGGCCAGTTATTGCTCGAAGATGAGTGATGGTCTAAATATGGACTGTCTGTAAGTAGAAGTTTGCTGCCACTGAGACCAGAACTTGAACTCTCGCTTGAGGAGAACACACTCTTGCTTCCAGTGTAAAAAGAGAGAGACGTATGGAGAGGCTCTCTTCCTAAACGACGTCTGGCTCGCACCAATGAGATAAAAGCAACAGCAATAGCGCACAGGAATATAATCCCGAGGATACAGAACGCAAGTGCCATTTTTCCTGGAGATAAGCAGATGGTTTTGTCTCCTGGTGAAAACCCTCGTACAAATTCGTCTTCTTCCGATTCTATTCTTCTCGAGCCTGTGACAAATTAAAACAGGAATTGGTTTAGAATTTTACATTTAACGTCTGTATTTTTAAATGTTAATGTGTAAATAAGAAATGCTGGTGGACAAGCTGTTGTCCACGGCTCCGCTCGTGTTGATTGAGATTGCACTATGTAATATCTGTTAATATTTTTTTTTCTATGTAAAAGGTACCTTATGTACTTTTCTGTGCTAAATTGCACATAAACTTAATAATGATCCGGATAAGTAGCCATGAAAGCGTGTAAAACAATTTAATATACATTCACATTAAAAAATATTTGTTAGGCTGGTATCTACTCGGGCACGCCATTATTGCGGCGGCAAGACCCATTATGGAGGATTGGCTCGAGAGGCATCACGGGACCCTCTAACACCGGATGACGCAGGTGATCACCGGGTAAGGATGCTTCGGGGATCACATGACGCAGATGGCCGGGGTACGTCGGGATTTCCTTTCTAGGGTACACCTGGTTCCCCGGCTACTGGTACCTGAGACGGCGTGCGGTTTTTAGTTGGTTAGAGTCCGACATAACCACCGGTGGGTGGTATCCGAGGGTATATCCACACAGAGAAAAAGAATGATAGTATCTACTCTCGTCACCCTTTGGCTTAACTTACTGGATAAAGTATACTTTAGATCTATGTTTTTTGTAAGGATTACAAAACTTGTTACAAAAAAAGACAATATAAACAAGACATTCGGAATACTAAGACTATGAAAGACTCTTACTAACTGTCTGTACCACAAAGGAAAACAAAATCTTACCTCGTATGGACGCTTCATCTTCCAGTTCAATATTGGGCGCATGTACCTCTATACTATTGTATACCTCCAGCCTATCAATCACAATACCTTTAGCGTCTTTATCTAGCCTCGCCTTCCTGAGCAGTCCATCTCTGGTTTGTTGAGGTTTCTGTAAAGCTTTGCAGTCTACCGGCGGGCATTGTCCTTTACACAACTCGACACCGCAAGTTAAGTGCAGCTTTGCCCTGTCAGGAAACTTAAAAGCCGCGAACGTGGTAATAGCGTGCTGATATGTCATTATATTTTTGAACATATTATCAGGGTCAGTCTTTGCTAGCTTTATATTAATGCTTTCGTCAATGTTCTTCTGAGGATCGACAGGCTCTAGGTCTGAAAAGTCGATTTCCGAGCTTTTGTGATCGTGATGGTGGATTGATGGTTTGTTGAATATGGTCTCGTCTATGGGACAGCCTGCTTCGTCTAATAACTTTTGTGATGCTTCTCCTAAGCCATCATGTGCGACGCAGTTGGTTACTCGAAGACCGACACCCTCTGCAATTTCGGATAAGTTTATAATGACTATTTATAGTTTTAGTCAGTGGTAATAGTTGCCATTGTCATGCAAAGTGATTAATTATAGACAATTGTTATGCCGTTTTGTATTTCTATAAATAAACTTAGGTTTAGTTACTTTAATTTGTTACAAAATATAAATTATAATTATATATGTGTTCATGGCACATGGCTGTTCGCGTCCTATATTTCATCATGATTATACTAAATATAATCATCGCACAATTATTATTGTAGAAATAAACAAAGGCATTTAACAATATCAGGATTGCAGAATAATATTTGTTAAAATGAGACGAATTTTAACAAAATTAGAATATGTCATGAATAAATTTACTGTAGACGTTAGTTATAAAGAAGTAGTTAATTATTAAATAAATGAGTGGATTAAATAAATAGGCGTAATCTGGCACGATGCACTGTTTATTGGTTCTTGTTTTAAAGTATTTTTGCGACTTTGAAAGTACTGTTCATTTTTTCTATTTTAAAACATATTTTTCTAACCTGGCAATGTGCATTGTATGAGTAACTTTGTAGGCTGTCCTACTTCAACGGTAGCGGGTTCTGTGACTGATGTAGCTGGTGCCAACTCCATCCAGGCCCTCGCTGCAGCCATCAGCCATTCTCGTTGTTCTAATTCGGCCGCGTTTGCGAAGCCTTGTCTTTGTCGGCCTGTTCTGCAAACATTCAATTTTAGAATAAATTTTCAGTTTTATATGATTATCTTTCGTTTCTATTTTTATACCAAGTAGATACCAGGACAACAGCACTGCAAAGAGGAGGAAAACTTGACACAAACCCTATACCAACCCGACTGGCCAGCGTGGTATAGTAGGCAAAAACCTCCTTTGTAAGGAGAGGCCTATGTCTAGCAGTGGCCTATTAAAGGCTGTTGATGTGAACCAACTTGATCATATGAAACATTGCCCTGACAGCTAGAACAATTATTACGGGTGTCAATTATGGCATTCAATTATCCCAATAGCTATAAGAAGTGACTAAGCCAAACCTACTTTTTTCAGATACTTTTTTCATTTTTACTTGGTACTCTCTAAAAATTGATTTGATCAATTGCACTTACCCACTTTTTAAGCACTGCTAAAATAGTTGATTTGGTATGCATAAAAAAATATAATTGAATAAAACCACAAAAACGACATTAAGCGCCCTGATAGATGTCAAGCACTTTAATAAACTATAACATTGCATAGTACTTAAGATTTAGGACAATTTGTTGAACGATTACATTGGCGTAAAACCTAGACAAGATCCGTGTGAACCAATTTGATAGGGTATCTTAAAATGTACCTCGTTTTCTTCGCCTCCCTGCCGGCCATTTCGCGTAATTTGTTGTTGATTACCGACTCTAACGCCAAACTGTTGATGCGCACCGCACGAGGTTGCAATTTGCATCTGAAATTTCAAATACAGTATTTGACTCGCAATGTTGTTTCTTTATTTATAAACACTTAATGCTACTTTTACAATAAGTATAATAGTGTTATTATACTTATTGTAAAAGTAGCACTTGGCCACTTTAACAGTGTTAAGTTGTTAGGAAGCAATGTGAGGACAATAATATAATTAGAGACTGTCTCTCCCAAGGGTGAAGTTCTGCGTTTCTTTCACCTTATCCCACAGTGACTGCCTATAACTGAGATTATAAATTGCGCGAATAGCTCTCTTTTGCAAAACAAAGATACTCAGAATGTCAGCAGCATTTACCCACAACAAAATACCGTATGTCATTACACCCTGAAAATAGCTAAAATACACAGGTCCAGCTGTTTCTACATCGGTTAATTGACGAATTTTAGACACCACGTATGCTGCAGAGCTGAGTCTATTAGACAATCCATCGATGTGGGGGCCCTACTGCAATTTAGAGTCTAGAATTATACCCAAATACTTAGTTATGTCCACAAGATCCAACTCCTTTCCATTTATCAGAACACTGGTTTTTATCTGCTTAACATTAGGTGTAGAAAATCCTAATGTTAGGCTGATAAAAACTTCTTTCTCGTTTAAAAGTAAGTTATTAAAGTTGAAACAGTTCATGAGAGACAAAGACGTTTACGTTAAGAGAGTGTTATTCACATCGTCAGTAACTGATTGCTGTCGTTTCAGTTTAAATAAAAGTGAAGTGAAGATTATCTTTTATCAGATTAGGTAGGTCATTTATATAAATGAGAAACAAAAATGGGCCGAGAATTGAGCCCTGCGAAACCCTCATAGTGTCGAGAGATCCGAGGGATCTCTGTCCATTAACTTCCACTCTCTGGATCCTATTAAACAAATAAGAGATAAGAAGATCCAAAGCAGTACTCCTTATTCTATAGTGATACAATTCCCTGATCAATATTTCATGAAAAACTCAATCGCATCAAATCAATAAGATAAAAAAATATGAAAAATTGGTGCCTCATGATTTGACTAATCTGCAGTAATACACTAATATATTATACTTCATCACTCAAACATTTGTATATTACATCATTTTCGTTAAGTAATTGACACTGAACGGTTACATTATACTTTTTATAGTAATCAATCGGTGTGGGTATTCAAATTTTACACGACTAGAGACAGAGATATAAGTGTACCCTCGCATAGGTTTGCAAAATGCGGACTCGTGGTCACAATACAGGTTAAAGCACAGTAGTACTGTTTCATTTCACACGATCGTAATAGTGGTGTTAATTTTAATTTTCTTTTTTTTTTTGTTCATTTTAAGTAGATAATATGTTTGCACTGAGTTCATATTATAGGTAATTAATAATAGTAACAATATTATAGGTAATTAAAAATTTATTTAGGTGGGTGAGATATTTTCGAGCACATGTTGCTTGAGTTTTCTTTTAAAAGTACTAAACGAGTTCGCATTCCTTATGTCTTTGGGTAATTTATTAAAAAGTTGCACTCCCTCGTATAACAATGTTCTCTTGCCTAGAGAAGTACGTACTTGAGGAACTAAAATGTGGTCTTTTCTACGACTGCTACGGTTACTAACTTCATGTATTTTAGTAAAAGATATCTGTGAATGTATAGATTTAGGAAGTATTTTTTGTAAAAGTATACAGGTGCAAAATGTGTACAGTTGTTTGATACTCATAAGTTTCGTGTCTTTGTATATTTTGGTTGTAGGTGACAGATAGTCATAATGAAACAGCATTTTAATAATTTTGTTTTGTGCAATTTGTAAGTCCTTTAGATTTGTTTTGGCTGCATTCCCCCATATTTCAACTAAGTACAGAATGTGTGGCTTTATTAGTGAATTGTATATAAGCTGGCGGACATTGAAAGGTAGGCAATGAACAATATTACGTAGTGAACCCAAGAGTGATGTTAGTTTAGATTTAATGTTTTCAATGTGACTGTTCCAATTTAGTTGGCAATCCAGTCGCAGGCCGAGGTATCTTTCATGTTGTTTAAGCTCGAGTATTTCATTATTGATTTTAAGGGGGGTGTGAGGTGGAACTTTTTTATTTTTGGCATGAAATATAACGTAGCATGTTTTGGATGCATTAATTGTGAGAAGATTTTGTTGGCACCAGATTAGTAATAAATTTAGATCTTGTTGAGCTTGATTTATCATTTCAGGTATGGAATTTCCAAAATAGAAGAGGCACGTGTCATCTGCGTACAAAGACATTTGACCATGTAGTGGGAGTCTGTGAATGGAGTTCACGTAGATTAGGAAAAATAGTGGGCCTAGCAGGGAACCTTGAGGAACTCCAAACGTGATATTTTGTGGTTTACTCTGGCATTCGCCTATTTTAACTATCTGTCGCCTATTAGATAGATATGATTCAAGCATTCCATAAGCCACACCTGACACGCCCATGTTTTTAAGCTTTTGTAGAAGAATTTTGTGACTTACGGTGTCAAAAGCCTTTTTGAAGTCAATAAATAAGCCAAGCGCCATATTTTTTTTATCGATGTTCATTTGTATTTTGGTCGTGAGGTCTATTGTAGCCGATAAGGTGTTAGACTGTGGTCGAAAGCCATACTGACGTTCAAAAAGGAAGTTTATTGAAGTCATATACTCCTCTAGGCGCGCAAGAAGTATCTTTTCGAATATTTTCGAAATTATCGGTAGTACTGAGATAGGCCTATAGTTATTAGGATCAGTTTTCGCACCAGCTTTGTGTATCGGAGTGACTTTAGCTATTTTTAATTCATCGGGAAATATTCCTGAAGCCAGATGGCTATTTATGCAGTCTGTCAGTTTGTCTAGTATCAGTTCGCTTATACAGTTAATAGATTTAGTTGTTATACCATCGATCCCGGTACTACAGTTTAGTTTAAGGCTTTTAATTATTTTGGACAATTCACGAGATCGGCAAGGGGTGAAAGTAGTAAATGTTGTGTTGCATGTTCGGGTGTCTAGTGGTATTATGATATCGTGTTGTTTTTGTGTAAGTATACGGTTTGCAAGGTTGGAGCCAATCGTAGAAAAGAAGCAATTAAATTCATTACAGATCATATTACCATTCGTTAAAGTACCGCTCTCTGTCAGCAATTTAGGGGGAGTGCGTTCTGAGTTGGTTCTATTATTAGACAAAGTATTAATCAAGTTATACATCTTTTTAGGATCTGTTGTACATTTCTTAAACTGTTCATGGTAATATTTCTGCTTAGTGTTCCTGATCATTTGACTAGTAACTTTTCGTTCTGTTCTGAAAGTTTTAAGCAAATCTTCATTATTAGGGTCCTGTTTTAGTTTACGCCAGATTTTGTTTCTTATCATGATTTTATCTAGAATTTCTTTGCAGAAATGCCTATTGAAGCTTGTGTTTTGAAACCTTATTGAATTAAAGCAAAGCTTACCAAACAAAAAGGTAATGGTAACTGTTTAGTGGTCTTTTAATTTTGTTATTCACTGCAGATTTCTCAGGTCTGGTTAGGCAATAACAGCAGATGTTTACTGTGCCGAGCTTTAAACAGTGATCGCGTTACTCGTAGTAAAACAGCTTCGACACGTGAATCGATCTTCATCATTATTGCTCCATGATAACGCAAGACCTCAAACTGCATGAGAAACCGTTGTTACTCTAAAGAAGCTGCAGTTAAAAACCATACGTACATACATCCTCCGTACTCGACAGATCTTGCTCCAACGGACTACCATTTTTTTCGTGATTTGGACAATTTTGTACGTGATAAAACATTTTTTACCAAACAGGCAGTACAAAATTCTTTCAAACAGTTTGCCGAATCGAGATCCTTAGAGTTCTATTGTAAAGACATAACTGAACTTAAGTTTAGATTTCAGCAATGTGTAGATAATGAGAGAAAATATTTTGATTAAATAAATGTTACATCTTAGAAAAAACGAGTTTCAATTTTTCAAAACAGATCGACAATTTCATAGTTTAACCCTTAATATTATATGTATATAGAGAACACCCAAACTCCGAAACAAATATTTGCAGACCATACAAACATTTGGACCGATCCGGAAACCGAACTAAAAATATAGAAACTAGAAATTGATGGAATAGTAGAATACCAACGGAAATTATCTAGTATCCACTCTCATCGCTACGGTCATTGCCTTTATTACATTTGTGTAGTAGTAATAAATCGTATACAACTGCTCTTTAAAACACCTTGTATGTACTGTACTGTACGAATATGTATAGTTTAAGTTGGATAATATTTTCATAATATTCTTGAAAGAAGACTGCACATGCAGGAAATGAGATTTTATAATGTCCTTGTATGAACCACTTTGACCATCTAGGAATCAGGTTTCTAGAATCGTTGCATAAGAAAATCTTTCTTTAAACATTGCTTTTTTATTCCTATTTTTTGCAATATCAAAGATGTTTGTCTTATACATACGTAAGAAATGCGGGTACGGTTATTGCTCTCTAGTTTTAAGTCGTAAAGAGTTATATTGCTACAACCTTCCTCAATAAATGAGCTGTCAAAAGCAGAAATCAGTATTGAATAATCACTTGAGACTTTTCGATAGTAGTAAACATAATGGTTGACGTCTTGATGCACAACTAACCTGACAAACAGCTCTTGATCTGAAGATTGTTGCAGCTGCTTGTCCATTTGCACAACCAGCTCCACGTTATAGTAGAGAAGCTCGTCTTCAGCGAGTTCATTTAATGTTCCATTCAAAGTGGACGTCCTAACCCCGCAGGCGTTTGATGGCAAGTGGAGAGTAATTTTATTTTCACGTTTACCTGTAACGATATAAAATAAGAGGTCAGATATTTTGATGTTCCAGTATCAACCATTAGGTTGCGGTCACAATCACATAGTCTAGTCGGAGGATGTTGGTGTCCTACAACAAGGGTACAGGCTTTTGTCAGATCATGTTAGCCGATCCAAAAGGATGTAGAAACATGAGGGACTTTTTTCACTATACCATCAGATAATAAAAGGTGTAATAATATCACGTTTACAGTAATTACCATCAAATAGCCCCGTCAGTTCATAAGTTTTACAGCTATTAACGTCCACTTCCAAAAGATAGAGCAGCATTTGAATAAAATTTAATTTTTTAAAATTTTTAACTGTACCAACTTAGTTTTAAAATCACTCTTACTTTTTTGCCTATAAATCTATAAGTTACATATATTTATTACATACTATATTTATTTACATATTATACTATCCACTTTATCTATGCTGCATGACGGAGGAATAATACCACTTCGCAATTGAATGATTATACTAGATAAATTTATCAAAACTAATTTTAAATTTACTTTACAATTTTGTGCATTTGACGATAAAGTATGTAACATTTATTTCCCAAAATTTCAACATAAACTAGACGGGTGCAATGACTAAATCATCATATAATAGTACAAACTCCTTCTCTTAGTATATTTTTTTTTATTAAGAACCAATTGTCGATATATTTGTATTTAATTCTTTAATATACCTAATAAAGATTGTTATTGACATTAGGTATTGATAGCATCGGTAATTTACAAGACCACACTTGTTTGAAACTATTGTACCAATATATCAAGCAGTTTACGAACAATATTGTCATAAAATAAAATTCTAATATTGGAACATACCTTGGACACGACATTCTCTAGAGAAGTCTTTGCTGAACACGAGCCCTTTAAACGGCTGTGCCATTTCCAGATGCACTGTCATAGAAGCTTTGTCACACACCGTGGTCACGCTAGCCACCCGGTTGGGCGTCGTTTGGCACTGGCTGAGAGTCACCGACGACAGCAGTAGTATCGCACGCCACATCTTGGCGCGCCTGAAAAAAGAGATAGACGGTAAGGTTATAAGAAAATAGTCATCGTACTTGATAAGAAATTATTTATTTGTAATGTGCTGCACTTGTCTAAAGAATATAAGCAACATCCTGTACAACATAGTATAAAAAGTAGACTAAAGCTGTATGTAATATTAATATTATGATTATTATTAAATTTGTTTAGTTTTGACGACACACGTAATAAACAACACTTTTCAATTACTGTTTTTTTCTGATTTTATTTTGTGTTAATTTTGGCTGATTTCTTTCATGGCCCTCCGCTAACCTGACACCAACCAAACCAATAAAAAAAGTTTAACAGTAAAGTGATAAAAATGGAGTACGGTAAGCACAAAGGAGATAAAATGAGACTTAAAGGGTGAGTTGCAAATGCCAATGAACGGCAGTAGTCCCCGGTACAGGAACATCAACTGACAAAAACATGCTTTGATAATCCAAAGCATGTAATCTAATGCATAAGGTATTAATTATATAACGACTATTTCTTGATTACTTCTATTCTAGTTGAATTACTCAGAATTTTTAATTTTTTATCTATACACTTGATCAACAATTTTTAACACCCCTAACTTGGCGTACACAAACCAGTGCAGGCATGTTCATTGCGTAATAAAGTTAGGTTCATAGAACTGAGCATCTAAGTGCTACGATCTATGATCTAATAATAAAATGCGAAGGTGTACTGTGGGTTGTCCGGCCCAAGTCTGCGGTAAAATGTGCTGTATTGAACGGCCCTAGACCATTTGCGGTCAGGAACGCGGTTAATACGGCAGATATGAAAGCAATTTAAGACAAGACAATCCACATTTTATATGCCATTATTACGAAATAGAAGCTTGATTATGTATCCTACTAAAAGGACATGACCCCAGAAGTCCAATATTAATATCAATTTTTTTCTTATAAATAAATTATATTGTAGAGGGGAATGACTTTTAATTCATCCACTTTGCTTCAATGTGTGGCGTAAAAAGTAATTAGGTAATTGATTTGGTATTTTTGTGATCTGATTTGATAAGTATTTATTATTATGATATGATTTACGAGTATTATTATGACCAATATGCAGATGGTTATAGAAGGTTAGACGAAAAAAATATAGTTTACGAGATGGCCCATCAAGGATCTAAAAACAGGACGTTCGAGTCTGTAAAAAACAAGTGACGATTTGCTGACAACAACAAGTGATTTTTTATTTGTTAAGAAATATTTGTGATACAATAATAAGCAGTATAGTAATAACTAATAATCTTGTAAATCTTATGCTGTCATCATTTCACAGTCAAGAGTCGACTTCTTTATTTAGGCACTAAACGTAAACTGTTAAAGTCTGTGACTGTTTTGTGCAAATTTTTTTTTGTGGTAAAGGGAAGTAAACGAGCAGACGGGTCACCTGATGGTAAGTGAGTACCACCGCCTATAGTTACCTACAACTTAAGAGAAGTGCTTTGCCTATACAATTGTTACTTTTTTTAGAGAATAGGATAGTCTATATTGGTTTGTTGCTTAAGGTATATTCTAGTTTTTTGGGTTTTACAGTGTTCTACCAAAAGGCTGGTAGTCTAGCTGATTCATTAAAATTCTTGAAAAAATTAACTAAGTAAAGACAAAGGTGTGCAAACGAGGATCGAACTGGAACCGTGTCGGTATAATTAACACACGTACTTATTGTGGCAATAGAAGCAAGTATTCTTAAAGTATATAATAAGTTGTAAGGACTTCTATTATTGGCCGTGGTGTGAGTTACATTAATTATATGAACCAGAATTACCGGCCAGAGCTGTCTCCTAGCCATGTTTTTATTTATATCTATCTAATGCTAGTGTTGAAGTCTCTAATTATAAAGCGGCAGTTTTTAGTATTACTATTTTGTTTTGTATAGAGGAATAACATTTTAAAATAGGCATAGGTACTCGTATATATAGATTTTATACTCTTATGTTTTCTTTACCGGATAATAGAAGAAAGGACAGAACTTACTAATGTCAAGAATTGAATAATATCCAGGCATATTTATTTTAAACAAAAACAAAATAAGTTAGTAAACAAGTTATTCGTTATATATTACAAGTAAACAGACGCAGAAATTGGAAAGGTATTACCTCAAAATTAATGCATAAAGTGGGCACAAATTCTAGTTGAACTATCGCTGCCGGAAATACAGGATCTACAGGGTATCTTCTTTATAGCGCAATACCGTTAGATGGAGAGGATAATTAAGAATTTCATATCTTCATATGTGTATAAAAAGTGTTGTTCGTTAGATCGTTTTATATGCGATGGCGTACCTTTTATCCGAGGATCATAAAATTTTGCAAACAAAGTTGCCAGCAATAGCAAAGGATAATCTTTAAGTACTCTAGCAAGTTGCGGGCTAATGCTGGTTAGCTATAATTATTGTTATAAATTCTTCAAATATTTAGAAAATTGGAACCTCGAACGTCACTAATGTAGGTGAAAACGACAGTGCTTTACAAGAAGACACTTAACAAGGTACTCATTTCTTCCCTAATTATTGATAAAATTTGTAGTAGAATAATATAATTTAAATAAATATAGATGAGCAAGTCCGTGTAGTGACGGATTAAGAATACTGAATGTCACTACCCCAATTCATCCCGTGGGTGTCGTAACAGCCAACTAAGGGCGCAAAACAACGCATCACACCAACACTGCAAAAAGAAGGAATACTTGACACAAACCCTATACCAACGCGTCTAGCCAGCATGGTATAGTAGGCCAAAACCTCCTTTCTAAGGAGAGGCCTATGTCCAGCAGTGAACTATTAAAGGTTGTTGATGATGATGATGAGCATTACTGATTTCCTACGCTTCCCAATATCGGTTTCAGATTTTAATACAGGTATTCTTAGACACGATATATTTTATGTCTAATACTCCCACGCAAAAACACGACATATTTCCCTTAACCTTTGGCTCCAATAAATTAAACAGCTTGTAGAAGGCTCTCAGCTCAGCTCTCTCAACTTTTAGGTCGTTGAACTATAGATAAATAAAAGCTAATAAATGTTGTTAATTCATAACATTTATTAGCTTTTATACGTTGTCATTAGTTGTCAGTGTTTTTATTTGGTGATATGAATAGTAATAAATGAAGACTGTTTTTCTCATTGCTCTGAGTTCTTTCAAAAATAATTTCGATGGTCTATTAATATACCTACATCTAACAAATTGATTACGTATAGCAATAGATTATCACATCATCATCACATCAACAGCCTATAATAGTCCACTACTGTACATAGACCTCTCCTTATAATGGAGGTTTTGGCCTACTATACCACGCTGGCCAGACGGGTTGGTATAGGGTTTGTTTCAAGTTTTCCTTCTCTTTGCAGTGCTGTTGTCCTGCGTAGTCGACTTAGTCGACTTTTACGACACCCACGGAATGAATAGGGGTGATGACATTACGTATTCTTAATCCGTCATCACACGGAAATAGATTATCAATATAATTAATTGAATTAAAAACTAACTCTAGTCTCGAACTTTACAGGCACTGTTAATAACGAAATAGAAGTGTTTAGCCTGGCCTTTTTAAAGCGCGTGTAGCAAATTGTTAGAAGCTAAATTGTTATACTCTTGAAAGAAGTAGTTATCTACTATTAAAACTTATTAAGATTATCGCAACTAAATTAGACTGTAACGCAAGTTATTAAAATAACATTTATAAGATAACAGTAACATCAAACGGATTGGCAATTTTAGGGGGTGTTTTGCGAATAGTGCCTCCTGTATGGTCTTAGAACTGCCAGTGCATAATATATATGATACTAGATGCACTTGTAGTTGAGGTTGAACGGACACTCTGGACGCTAGGCGGTGAGGTGCAGCTGTTTTGTGCGGCTGGCCTTTAATACTTATCTTATTACTAACACTCCCACAATCACAAGCACAATCTAAGTATTTTGGTGGTACAGTTTACTGAGAAACTATCACACTTTCAGTTTTGGGCTTTGGCACAGTAATTTTAACTCATGTCTAAATGTGTTATCTATCTAAATGTTTTTATTTTATACACATTTAAAATTAAAGACAAAAAAATTGTTGAATAAAATTTTATTGTCCTACTAACTAATAAATACCTACCTACCGTTAAATACCTATAAAGGTAATCGTTTTCATAATTTGAAATGAGCACCATTAGCTGTAAGAACTTTAGCAATCATAAAGAAGCAAGAATATAATTTACAGCTAAAATATCGATATCAATATCGCTCTACTCTGTTGAATGGTTAGGAATGTGTTTTTACCAAAAACTTGATATCCCAGAAATAGATTATAGTTCAGTCTGCTTTGACTCGGTTCGCTTCAAACATAACCTAGAAATAAAAACCATATCAACAATGGCATGTAGCCGCGAGAGTGCTACTCAAGGCATCTCTTGAAAAACTTATGCATTGTACTTCTCTAACGAAGCGTTTTAGAAAAGATCTATAGTACGATTCTTTATTTATCCTAAGCATATGTTGTTGAAAATAAACAGTTAGGTATATTCTCGCTATATCCGGTCAGCAATCCTGATGGTACAATTAGATATGAAATTAGATTGTTTAAATGAATTGGGTCTTATGATCTATGTCGCGAGATTGTGCGATAAAAGAGGGCTTCACTTTCAACTGTCACGCATCGTTTAATATTAATTGGCAGCAGAGTATCTCTTTCTCTTTTTGCATGTGAATTATATGAGAGCCGTGTCAGATGATCGGTGACGAATTTTAATCCTTTCATTCACGATAGAAATCTATTAGGGTATAATTAAATTTTCGTATAGTGTTCGCAGTAGGTATTTATAGATTTGAAACAAAATGCTAGCAATTTTTTTTTAATTTAGAACGCGTATCATATTTATATTTTAAAATAACTACATTGAAAAATATTACCTCACAATTAATAAGTTATTACGTGGTTTTATATTTTGTTTATGGTAGCGATTTTATTACGGCAGC